TGGCAAACGGCTGCGGAATTTTTCAAAACCTGGCAAATGGCTGCACATCAACCTGCAAGGGAAATTTCTGAACCATACATAGGGAAAGTGATATTCCTTCATATTCAAGTCTTACCTCCTGCACGCTTTTTGAAGCCTGGAAAATGCCATATGTTTCGACCCATGTACGCCACTGCTTCTTTGCGAATTTTGTCTGGGACACACAGCGAGCGAAGCCTGCCGAATATGCTCTGCGGAAGGGAGAGTGGTAAGTGAAAAAACCTGCCAACTTTGGTTCAGAAGGTTCCGCGAAGGAAACTACAACCTCGAAGAGATGGACGCCCAACGGAAGTCAATTTCGAACGTTTGGAGCTGTTACTTCAAGACTTTCCGCATGCAAGCGCCATGGAGCTGGCAAAGGAGATGCAGTGCTTCAACATGGCCACAGGTCGTGTTCACCACAAGCTGGAAAAAGTTAAGAAACTTGGTCGATTGATCCCTCATGAGCTGACAGAGCATTGCAAGAAAAGAGGTATCGGGTGTGCAGAGGTTTTCTTGCAAGGAGTCGCCGTTTCGACTGGCTGGATAATGTAATTACTGGAGATGAAAGGTGGGGGCTCTACGTATGTCATACCAGAAGAAGACAGTGAATGGGTGCGAACCAGAAGCCAGAGCCTGTTCCAAAGCAGGAGGTTCATCCCAAGAAAGTTCCTCTGTCAGTTTGGTGGAGAGTTCGGGGAACACGTCATTACGAGATGCCAGACAATACCATCGTCGACGCCTGAGGTGTACTGCTCACAACCACGAAGGCTCGCAGCTGAAGTCGCGAAACTTCGCCCGAAGCTGGACGAAGTCCTTCTTCTTCATGACAACGCGCGACCGCATGTTGCAAGGGTAACCCAGGACACATTGGCGGAACTTGGATCTCTTACCCCATCCTCCATATTCGCCAGATCTTGCACCTACGGATTACCACCTGTTCCGTTCCCTGGCTCTTGGAGGCACTGCTTCGACTCGAAGCCTGCCGAATTTTGGAGGAGAGGCATTTGTTTCCTTGTCGACCGATGGCGGACTGTTGTAGGTACTTGTGGGAATTATTATTAGGAATAAAGTTCAATTCAAAGAAAAATATGAGTTTTTGAAATTGAGGGTCGAATCCGCCATTACTTTCGTTGCGACCTAATACTTCACTTTCTTTTGCCTTCAAAGCGGTCAATTTGTGAACCTGGCAGGGAAGAAGAAGTCTCAAGTCGCTCGGTCAAGCATCTGTCTGTTTATGTATACGTCATGAATGCAAATGAAAACAGCCAGCTTTGGAACGCACCCTACCAACGTCGGAAAAAAGTGGTTTTGACTTTGTCGAAAAAAAAAACTTGATAGTTATTTCATTGGCTATGCAGAAAATTACTGTCCATTCGTGCTATGCATGTGGAAAGGATCCTCTCCCTCCTTGACCTAAACAAGTTGATAGAATATGACTCGAGAGGGTAGAGAATCGCCATTGGGGCGTAGGAGGTGCCTGACTATTTTCTCTGTTTCTGTGTGGCAATGGGTGGATGGGCCGAATAGGTGAGGCGTGCAAAAAACTCTGCATCTTGCTGATTCGAGTTAGGATTCCTTGTGAGAAACATATTTCCCAATGGTCGCGTGACGCGCGTGGTGTCGTCCGTTGTTTCAAAAATTTGGTTTTATAATAATGCCGATATTCCGTGGAGCTCGTGAGTTTTTCAGGTACACAAGGCTGTTTTATTCGATGGGCGCAACGTTGCTGTGAAAATTCAATATCCGGGAGTTGCGGAAGGTTAATCATTTCTTTGCGTTGCTTCCTTGCCGAGATTTACTGAATTGTTTTTCAGGGATCGACTCTGATATCGACAATCTTGTGTCCATACTTTCTTTCGGCCAACTTTTCCCTAAAGGACTGTTTCTGGAGAATTTGTGTGGAAGTGCGTGGCGTTTTTAGATCCATCTTTTTTGGATGCGTTATTGTTTGTTCAAGGTAGCACGCAAGGAACTCGCCGATGAGTGCAGGTATTTGAGAGAGGCACGTGGCCGCCGCTTTTTTTTAAAAATGAAAAAATTCCGTGAGTTGCTTGCTGACTCAAACGACTTCTACATTCCCGAAGTTGGTTTGGTTTACTTTTCAATCTTCTACTGTACTCTTTCGTTTATTAGCGTACTTTCATTAAAGGTGGTGGATTCGCTTACCACAGATCGAGTTCTCACTGCAGAATATATCGTAGGAAAACCTGTTGATCAATGCGTGAACGAACCACAAATTGTTCGCGATTACATTGCTGCAAAGTTCATCGAACTTTGCCTTCATGAGGTGCGTTTTGTGACGAGCTTACTTTCATGGATCATTTCACACGACGCTGTTTTTATTTTCTGGATACCTACCGTTACCCATTTTTATTTCTATTCTTCAGATTTTCATTTGGAGATTCATGCAGACGGATCCAAATTGGTCAAATTTTTTCTTGGGAGTTCATCCAGTGACAGGTTAGCGTTTATGTCTAGTCTTGGAGGCAGAAGTCACAATTAGAAGACGGCCCAGTAGAATAGGTGGAGGTGGCCGGTATGTCAGGATGAAATAGCCGTTCGGCTCACCCTGCACACCGACCACCTCCACCTTGATTCTGTTCGATTTTGAGAAACGGCCCACATCCAAAAGTAGGATCTACTCTGCTTGCTGATTTCCGCACTGATGCGCTCTCGAAATATTTATGTTGGGCTTCTGTCCTCTTCAGCGCTAACGCTCTCCTTATTAGCTGTAGACCCCGGCTAGTGGTCAGCCAGTCGGTGGGCATGCCGCGCTTGCAGCGCTCGGTGGCCAAGCCTAAATGCGCGGGTCATATCCTTTGCCGCAGCAATGTACTTCCACTAAAATAAGTTTAATTTCAAGTTTATCATGGAATCCTCTTTTGAAATGATGCAATTATGCAAAACTTACAATATTCAGGCAAACCTCGTATGATTCTTCTTGATTTTGGAGCGACTCGTTCCTACAGTAAAACATTTGTCGGACAAACTCTATATGAACATAATTACACTAGGCCAGACAGCACAACTTGAGCAAACGCGTGCAAGAGGAAAGCTCACCACACGTAATCACCGAGCGACATATACGTACCAGTTACTGATTCGCACTGCGATCGTATCTCTCAGAAATCATGACGCGAACAGAGCGCTTAAATCGCTGGAGGCCAATATCTACAAGGTGAACATGAAAGGGTATAGAAAAAAGTAGCAACCATCACAGAAGGAGGCGCTGGTCCACAGTTTTGATGGCGGACCATCAGCTATTGGACGTCTGATGCGAGCTTTTCTCTTATTTTTCGCCAACACGATCCTGCTTTAGACACAAAAGTGAATTCTGCGCTAACAAGCTAGAATGCTTATACCATTACTGCAGTCGTGCCCACAATCTATCAGTCTTCTGACGAATTCATACACATTCTATTTCTAATACCTTATCCTTTCTGGCTATACGAAAGCCTAATGGGTCGCTGTGTACACACCTTTCGCAAGAACACTAGAGATTACTATTTTTCATGTAATATTAGGTTGTCCTGAAAGTCTTTGGCCATTTCCATGTGTATGTTGTGGAATCTCCAGGGATAATTTTTGAACACCCATTGTAAAACGTATGTGAACCCCAGTCAATGGTCTCACCAGAGCGTCTCTGCCGTGGTATTTCGCGACATTAGGCTGCAGAAAATCGACTATGCCCACAGACAAACATTATTTGCTAGTCCTTTTTTTTCCTCCTGATTTTGAAACCCAGAAAACGCGTCATGAAAGCGATGCGGCAAGAGCCGTACGTCTTGCAATAGAGGCTTCAGAGTGTCTTTCACGACATGGCAAACATTTGGTTGCCGATGTCCAGAAACTCAAGAAAAAAGCCCAAAGTCGGTTGGCTTGTTACCCTGAGTGACGAGTGTCTTCTGGAGTTGTCTGAAAACAGTCTCTGGTGCAATGCACACTAACAGACACAGCTTTACTGCAGTCATCATAACACAATAGCCATTCCTCAATAGCTTTTCAAAAAGAAGAAGAATTATGGAAAAAGGGATTTCGTGATCTGGGTGACAACCGCTATCAGAAGCCTTCATGAGTGACAACCGCTTCAGAAGCCTTCAGATTTTGATGAACATTTTGATTACTACGGCTGTATCTTGTTTGACCCGACTACTTTGTTAGTGGTAGCAAGGAGTGGGTTCCTCAAGTAAACCACACCCGCGAGCGCCACTGGCTCAGACGCGTAGAACCAGAGATTCCGACGTCCACTCCAGCACTGCAACTTGAGAGGCAACTTTCAGACTTGGTAAAGCTGCAAGCGATCCGTTTGCCGACAGCTCCTACCAACAAACTTCGCTGCTGTTGTAGTTCGATAATGTGGACAAGCGGAGTGGATCTCATGCACTATGCGTAGAAAACATTACAAAGATCACTTTATCCAAGCAACGCTCATCAAGGGATTTTGAAAAAGGGCCAGCAAAAGTCTCCAAGCTCCTTATGGGATGTCCTGTCTCACCAGTTGTGTTCAGCAGATCCGGCCCCAACAGAATACCGTTTGCTTCTGTTGCTGTTGATTCAACTAAAAGAGGGAGAGCTTATGTCGGCGGAGGTGAAACTCCAGTTCGGGGGGGCCACTCCATTTTTTCTCCAATACTCAAGATAAGGATTAGAGGGCTCACGACACGTAATCGACTCATTTAAAGTAGACTTCTGATAAATATTGGTGTAATGGGTGAGAAACCCTGAAACGTTTTCACATTTCCGCCTGCCATGACCCAAGGGAACGGTCCTGGACCAGGAGAAAGGACACCTCCGCAAAGGGCTAAGGGTGCAGGAGCTCCAGGGTGGATCACCTGTGCAGAAAAGTGGATGGGATGTGGGCAGGTAGTGTGGAATGTAGGACATCCACCGGTCCTTATCAAAAGTACGCTCGAAATGAGTCGTTCACTTATTATCTTATCCGTAGTGTTCGATAGCCCAAAGAACTGCTCTCTAGTACTACGGATAAGATAGCAATGGAGTGGCCCCCCCGAACTGGAGTTTCACCGTTCGGACTACTCGAAAACGGGACTTCCTCCAGTTTTTTGCCTTGAAAGCTCAGGACTTCTAGGCAAACGGCATCCACAAGTCACCTGCTGAAAGGCAATATGTTCACGATCACGATGGGGCATATGACTGTAATTTGCTGACTGGCCTAAAGAAGAAAAGTGGATTTGAAAAAAAAAATCGACAAATGGCCAAAGACTTTCAGGACAACCTAATATTTTGCGAGACCCAGCCTCTATTAACACACTACGGACCGCCGTTGCGAGTTCCGCATGTGCAAGTTTTATTCTATTATTAGCTTTTCATCAATTATCACTAGTTTCTCAAAT